CCTTTTCTTTGGGAAGCAGAATATCAGAAGCATTTTGAACCAGACCACTGTGTCCAAAGGCAATTCTACTCTTCCTGGGCGACCTTGGGCAAGACGTTTAACTTACCTGAGCCATGAATCAGGTCCAGGATCAAAGCCCTATGACAAGGCACAGGAGCCGTCCCTTTGGGTCCAGCTCATATCAGGCACCTCCTCTCTCCCCACTTGACCCTTCATTCGGTTCTTTCAACCTGCCATGTGTCCTCCTGTCTCAAAACATTTGCACATACTGTTCCTTCTGCCTGGAATGTTCGCCTCCCTCCTTAAACCCGTGCCTCGATGATTCCTTCAGATCGCAGGTCAAATGTTCCCTTTCTAGGGAAGTTCTCGCTGATTCCTCGAGTTAGATCATGTCCATTGTTTTTTCATTTCCCTGGGCTTACCTTTCACAGTGCCATTACAGTTTACAATGATATAGTTCTGTTTGATTGCTGTCTGACTTCCTACTAGACCCTAAGCCTCATGAGGGCAGAGACTGGGTAATGTTGCACACCATTTTATACCTAGTACTAAATCTGGCAGAGCAGGTGCTGAACAATAATTTGTGCAGTGAATTAATTTGTCTGGGTGATGTTAAAACAGGAAATCACAGAAATGATTCTATGTTTCAGATGCTTTTACAATTCCGATGGGGACTTCTTGATTGGTAAGTTTTGAAGATTTCAGACCCCTTCACTGTGAATTTAGCCCTAGTCATAAGCTTCTTTTTAATTTTGTACATATTATTTTCCTTCATCCTTCAATCTGTCTTATTTAGTGGAATCTGTAGACTAAGGTCTAAAGACAATTGGGGGTCTGGAAAAGATTTCTCTTGTACCTCAGAGCCCTTACTCTATGTCCTGGTCTCTCTGATTTTGCCCATTTCTGTTGGGTCCTTCTAATATGGGAGAGCTGAGCAGCTGAAAAGAAATGAAGAGCAATACCAAGATGAGATTAACTTATTAAGATGACTCTATTTGCCATCATACTCACCCAAGAAAAAGCTATCTGTCATTGATAACTGCAATTTAAACACAGATTTTCATGAGAGCCCTAAACTGGAATGTCAGTTAGGGATTTATCTGGTCTGCTCCTTCTTTTTGATGGCTTTAGTAGAAATATTTTGGAGTGGACACTTTGGCATAGGCATTAGACATGCAAATAATAGCCTTCTGCTGGAAGCATCAGAAATAGGTGATTTTCTGTCCTATTTCAGTTGCCTTTTTTGGTCAATCCTCAGAATTGTGCATATTCAGGATCCTTACTTGACAACTAAAAAAAGAACCCCAAAAACCAGAGTCCATTTTTTCATGCGCGTTCTTCTACATAATAAAATAGGTAACTTAAGTTGTCATACATTTTTCCTTTTGAGACTCAATAAAGCTCTGTTCGTTGGAAATGAAAAAGCAAATGCTTTCTTTAAGCTTTTGACTCTTCGTGAAGTGGTTCTTCCATTAAAAGAGACACTCACTGCTACCCTGTCTTTTTTATTAGTTCCCCAGAAAGGGAAACTTCTCATTTACACCGAGTTTGGCAAGATGATTGTGCAGCCCAACGAGATCTGCATCATTCAGGTGAGTAATGTGTCCCCTCTCTCTGCCTCTCTCTAATTTGGGAGCAATCAGATGTTGCAGCTGCTGCTATTTCCAACTCTAAAATGTCTCTGTCATGTCTGGGCAATGGGGAGGGAGTTTGAGTTACACAGAAGGCTCCCTGTGCCGAAGGATGAGCAGGCTTGGGTGTCTGCTTTGTTTTAAAATAGCACACAATCGCAAAGCAAAGAGCATTGTCAGTTCACCTTCCTGAACACCTATGCACACTCTGGATAAGACCGTGGATATGGGTGGAGGGCAGTGAAGACAGATTTCTGACAATTTTTGCTACATCAGGGCACTGTGATCTCTGAACCAAATAAGATAACACACTAGAGTTGGTTTGGGTCACAGATGTGATTAAGATTTACATTTTTTATTTCTAACTCATCTTTGAGTTGGTTGTCTCTCAGATCTAGTTCAGCAGACTATAGCGTGGGCATGTGGGGTTGGCTGTGGCTTTGGAGCTTCTTTATAAGTACATGTGGGGTCCCTCGGCGTGAACTGCAGGGATCTGGCAGAAACCGGCAGTCCAACGCGACCTGCTGCTCCTGCCTGCTGCTCCTGCTGATACCGGCCCTGCTGCACCTGCCACCGCCACTCAGTAGGCTCGCTGCCACTCCGGTGTGGTCTCCGGGCTGTGGTGGCCAGCTGTGAGCCCTGCATCTGGCACCCATTGGTCAGCTGAGCGGCACTCCCACTGTGGGACCACACTGACCACTAGGGAGCAGCTCCTGCGTTGAGCGTCTGCCCCCTGGTGGTCAGTGTGCATCATAGTGACTGGTTGCTCAGTCAAATGAACGGTTGGACACTTAGCATATTAGGCTTTTATTATATAGGATCATATTTTTCAATTTCCATTCTCTTATTTCCAGAGAGCTTATGCAT